ACATAAATAAACTATTCCCACAGTTGTTAATCTTACGTTCATAAATGGTAAATAATTCTGGATGTCGAAACTTTATTTTACGCCATCTAGCGTGAAAGAGGTGTACTATCAATGCACCGTTTTCTTAGAAATTACTGCGGAGCGGATATTTAAAAAGTTTCAATGTTCAAGACGCGAAGCGTAGCACAGAATCTCGGTAAGCACCTATCGGTACTTGTTTCTAAGAAATAATAATACACAATTCAATTCAATTCCTTTTCTCGTAGGCCCCGCCGATGCAGTGCAGGTAGAGGGACAGTGTTCGGCTCTGTCTAGAGCTATATAGCTATGACATTATGCGAGAACCGTTCATTAATCAACGTTGCCAGCTTGTTTTTTTTTTAGAAATTTTCATTAGATATGCCTAACGTCAAACCTGTTGGCCGTAGAGTGATTTCAATGTCTCCCCTTTATTATAACCACAAAGGTAAGTTGACTAGCACGCACGATCTCATTTATATATTCATTTATACAATCATTTGTATTAGTACTGTTAGTACTTGAATACTATTCCACATGTCAATTAAGTATAGGTGATGAGCTCACTACCTTAGCAAAGCTACTTTGTTTTGTTTCAGACATCTTAAATTTAATAGGACATGCTTTATGGAACAATTAAATTATGATTAATACCCCCTTTCCCCTTATGCATCGAGAGAATAATCTGTTACCGATTCGAGGTCCAGGAATGTCCTGACTCCCAATGCGGTTGGTCACCCCAGCAGTTGGCACCGTGCCAACGTTCGTTATTGTCTGGCGCAGACTTTACTGCCCCCTTTGATAATTATGTGGCGGGACAGTTTACTATTGCCCGGCCCGAATCCAATATAGGGTTCGATCCCGATGTGATTTCGGGGTCTTAAAGGGTTGGAATATACGAACACCTTACCCAACTTACGCCGGCGTATATTAGAACCTTTACAGAAAGTCAGTACTTTAATCTGCTGCGTTATTTAGTGGGGTAGCGTTCTTATCGGATATTCTATTACCAACTTAGATTTTGAATTGCAGTTTATTGATGAGTTCATATAGCATAAACTACCTGACCCGGCGAATATTGTTTTGCCATATAAATTATTTGTAGGATAGAAAAAATGTTTGGGGTGGACCACCCTTAACATTTAGGGGGATGAAAAATAGATGCTGTCCGATTCTCCACCCTGGCCGATAAGCATCCAAAATATCACGAAAATTGGTTGAGCCGTTTCGGAGGAGTTCAATTACAAACACCGTGACACGAGAATTTTATATATGGATCCTATAATAAATCTTAACAAATTAACTCACTGTGGTAGGGTCACGCAACAGTCTTTGCTGTTGCACGAATGGGTAGGTCGCAATGTGTACCACGACCTTATAGGAGAAGTGGAAGTTTTATACTTCTGCATTTTGTTTGGTGGGTAAGGTAGCCGGGACCCACTTTATTAAAAGGTAGCGACGTATCTGCAACACCACGATTGGTATAAATGTCCATGGGCTGGTGAAGGACCAGCTCGATTGCCATCTTCTCACGTACAAAAAATCAGTTTTAACACAAAAATATTTACACTACTGGAAAAATATTGTGGGATTAACATAGATTTTCCCATGTAGGGTTGACGTCAGATGGACGGCAGGTAAAAAATAGCCAAAACCGCTTACAACATGTTTCGCATGATGTGCCGACCCCACATGATATGGGATAAGGGCAGGAGGATGATGATGATGATCATAGTGCTTTTCTAGTGTCTTTATTTATATAAATTTTAAAGAACTAATACTTAGTTCTTTAAAATTAAGTAAGTATGTATGGTCTTGGTATGGTATATACAGTATTTTTGAGAAGTGCCCAAATTTACACAGGAGGGTCAGACTCGGAAGTATAATCGTTTATTGAAATAAAAATCAAAGGTTTTTTTCCAAAAAAATGCCGTTCTATTCCCTAAAAAACAGAACGTCTTGACAATGCGGTAGTCATTCATAAATACCTAACTTTTACTGTGCATGCTTGTTAGTAATGAATGATCGTGCGTAAAATGAATGAGTTGCGTATAAATAACGCACTTTTTGAGATAAGTTCAAATTAATGTAATCAATTACTTACGAGTGATTTGAAATATTTATCATATTATATACAACATTATTTATGTCCAGAATTTAATAAAAAAAAATTAATACACTTAGAAAAGCCATCCTGTATACAAGCTTTGTTTAGTTTGGGACTAGATAGCGTTGCGTAAAAATATGTCTCATAACTTAGAAAGCCACAACGAATGACACTGTGCCGTTTACATCCAATGGTCGCTCGTGTCTCTTACTTCCAAATTCCAACTTAAAACGCTACGAAAGACCGACGTGGGTAAATTGTTAACTTAACTAGCGCTTTGCTTTACGTAATGGACGGTGAAGTGAAGTTAGTATCTTCATCTACGAGAAAGTTCAATGAGAAATTGCCTTGAATATTAATTCTAAGAGCAGTATACGTCTTATTAATTATACAGTTATCGAACCTGATAGTATAAGAACAAATCACGTAGCGTCTACCAATAATTCCTAATCAGCTGTTATGTATGCACCGTGCATTTGTTGGGGCGGTGTGGCGCGTCACTGAATGTTAAATCGGTAATTAATGCAGAAACTAAAATACTCTGGCGGCACACGGCACTGGTATCAAGCTTATGGACTGTCTATTACACCGAACGGAATATAAATGGACAATATGAGAAATATTTATAGAATAGAAAGAGCCACGTTGCTGTGATTGTTGTTGCAACAATGGTTGCAGGTCCGGGAAGTAGGACCTCAAAGGAGACTAGTGTGAAGTGGAAGGGTTTTAATTTTGAAATTGTTTCGTCTGGCGAATGAAGTAGCCGGGGCCCACTTTATAAAAAGGTGGTAAGTCATCTAATTCTTACTGGTTTGGGGATATCTATCGGCGGCGGTTTTCGATTAACATCAGGCGAACCGCTACCTCACTTGCCACCTTCTCACATAAAAAAATCCCACCTGGATGCGGATGACACAACATGTGGATGATGTCATTAATGGTTGGTTACTTTTTTCGACCGGCCGCTTGTCTGAATACAGACCTACTTGGGAACTAGTTCCCGGATAGTAAAAACACAATTGAGCATTGATAGCTCAGTGTCCGGGCGTTCGCCTTTAATCACCGGCACCAATGAAATTGCTGATTTTAAGTGCCGAATTATCACGTGCTCAGCGGTGAAGGAAGACATCGTGAGGAAAGCTGCATATTGTCGAAGTAATAACAAAAAAAAAAATAGGTAAATCCACCAATAAAAATAGCAGTGCGGCCGCGTAGTGAACTATGCCCTGGTACCCTCTGTACAAAGGAGGCTTTGCCCAGGAGTGGGATGTGTATAGGCTGCAACTTTACTTTTACTTTTTTTTTTTAAAACATAATTTGTCACGTGTTGAAATCGAGCCCACGACCACCGCAGCCAATGGCTTAGGAACTAAGCCACATACTCATATCGCACACCAATAACTTTTAATACGTAAATGAGTCCGCTACGGTGTAATAGACGGTCTGCGATTCTAATCGAATCCGCGCCGATCATATTACAGAGAGCGTAACAAACGTCGGGTTCCGTTCCCGTGTCGCGTCCATTTATGTCGCCGCTAAGGTTGCGCGGTGTGTGATGAGTGGATGCTGGGACAGATGATGAGGTTCTTAAATATCATAATAGAGGTTGCAATGAAAACTATGTCGGGTTTGATTCTCAAAAGCATTTTTGGACTTTTGAACAACGACTTTGAAAGATGACGATTCACCTGATGTTAAGTGATAACCCTACCCATTGTTATTGAACACCCGTAGGGTTGCAGATATGTACCTTTGAATAAAGTGGCCCCCGGCTACCTCACTCACCAGACGAAACGCAGATGTATAATACTTCCACTTCACGCCGGTTTTCTGTGAAGTTGTGGTACTTAAACGGATCGAACTGCCCATTCGTGCAACAGCGACGTGTGTTGCGTGGGCCTACCACAGTAAAGCAATTCACACAGTAACACACATGCATTTAGTAAAAAGCGGTTATTTTAATATTACAAACAGACACTCCAATTTTATTTATCGGCATAGATTTATTCGCTGCGCTCGTCACTAACTGTCGCACCGTTTGCACGAAATGATTGCTAGCGGCGTTGTGTTGGTGCCAAAGCAAAATTCTCATTGAGCGCACCGTCCGTGGTTGGGCGGTGGCTAAATTACTATTGGAGATGTCTAGACTTCAAGATTCCCTCACGCAAGAAAACACGTACCCGTGTTCTATTCCTGTAGACTAATTGGTTTGGAAACTTAGATAGTGATATCTATATATGAAACCATGTTTGATGACTCCGTGGCGCAGTTGCCTGGGTATTTGCTTCGGCCTTGGGGGTCGTGGGTTTGATTCCCACACGGGACAACTATTTGTGTGACCCACAGACTTTTTCATTTATGTTTGTAAAACGTCCTTACAACAAAGGATAATGTTATCCGAAAGTAAGGGCAATATTAAAAAGAACTATATTGTTTAATATGTGATTAGTGTGGAATTTCTTTGGTCAAAAATTATTTCATTTATTTCTGCCTTATTTAAAAAAACTTTATTGGCTAGAAACAAAAACAAGTTATTCCACTTGATTGAAGCCATAGGAGCTGTTATTCAGGTTAGATTGAGTTAGTGACTTGTCTTTTAATCAGAAGATTACGGAGACCAAGCGTAGAGGTTATGCTAACGGCTTCAGTTTTATAAAATATTCGCTGCTTTTATTATGTTAGAAGGTGGCAAGTGCGCTGGTAATTCACCTAATTTTAAGTGATTACCACCGGCCACTGACCACCAGACGAAACGCAGAAGTTTAGCTCACTTCACGCCGGTCTTCTGTAAGGTTGTGGTACTTTCCGGAACGGCCCTGCCCGTTCGTGCAAGGAATACTGATGCCCCCGATGATTTTAATATGCGACCACTGACTTGGTGGGCCTCGTCTGTCCGTAGTATCTGTGCTCGGTGTAGAACAGGCCGGCTTCCAGCGCCTCAGCCAGCTCGTGGGCCAGCCCGCCAGCCACCCAGCCGGGCGAGATGGCCCACTCGCCACCCACGAAGATCACCACGTTGTTGGTGGCGGCGAACTCGCTGTTGTAGTAGTAGCGCTGGAAGGAGCATTTTATTGTATTTTGCAACGACTCTCTCTATACCACTATACGGATTTGGCGGATGGGGGCTATACGAATAAAGTGTAAGTATTTTTTCGTCACGACCGAACCGTCACAAAAACACCATGGTAACAAATAACAACTTTCTAACAATTATCTATACGATTACGCCAATGTGTGTGGTCAATACTGTTGATACTCACGTAGGCTAAAGTAAGATTTATACCTATCCTAATATATTATAAACTAATCGTTTTAAAAAAAGAGCAACTCTTGAGTTTCTTGCCGGTTTCTTCTCAACAGAAACTGCTTTCCGAAACGGTGGTAGCTTAGTTACGAACGTATTAATTTTTATGTAAAATTTTTGACATTTCATAAGAACGCGCAAGCGTCTATGTGAATAAATATATTTTTGATTTTGATTTGATTTTATAGTTCCAAGTTATGTCATTAAACCGTTATCAATTGCATTTAATATCTTTTTCTAAAACAAAGAGTGCTGGCACAGGGAATGACTTTTTTAGTTATTTAAAATATAATAATAATACGTTTATCATTATTATAAGATATACTCGTAAATTTCTTCCTTCTTCTTCCGACTTCCTTCCAACAGAGTTTTCCATGACACTTAGGCATTCTTAGCTGATACCCGACAGCGCTACTATATCGTCCGCGTTGCTTATTATATCAACAACTAAGCCGCTTGTCCCAAAACACACATCGATGTACACGAAGTGCTCACAAAAATCGTTGTTTCTTAAGGCTTGTTAATTATTAACGATTAATATTGATTAAAGTTAATGTATTATTAAAAAAAAAAACAGTTAACGTACATAAATGCTATAATTCTCACCATCTGGAAGGTGTCAGTGTTGGACGCATCGAATTGGTGCAGTCTGATGGAAGACCAGCCCTCGACCGGGACTGTGCGTGTCCTTGGCTGCGGCGGAGGAGGCTCGTGCACCACCAGAGCCACGGCGGAGCTCATGAGGAAGAACAGGAGCACTGCAGAAATTTTAAATAACGATATCCGATGTACTAACGTATATACATATTTAATTTGGTCATACAATGAGCAAAACATTGGTAGAGACACGAACAATGTCATATTTGATGTATGTGACATGAAAAGCCTGAACCTAGAAAGACCTAACTTGACAGAAGACTAGGGTAAAGTTGAAGTGCTGACAATGTTGAATCTTTTCCAGTAAGTGACGTAACCGAGGCCAACTGTTTTAAATGTTAACAACACGGCGTTTTAGACTCCACGGGTGGAGGTTTACTTTATTGTAAGCCACCATTTCGTTTGCTAACTAAAGCAAATTCGTCTGCAGATGGATTTAAGATTTAACAAAACTTAACATACTCACCTTTTAGTAAAACCTTGCTTTCCTTTCATCAACGGGTCGAATATACAGCACTACGTACAATAAATTTATATGTATTTACCAAATTAATTATAAGATTGAATCACATCTATAATACGCGTGGTGGTTCCTGATATTAAATGATATCCATTGAGGTGGCAGATGTGTTGCCACCTTTAAAAGGTCGTCCCCAGTTACCTTACTTACAAGCCAAAACGGAAAAGTATAATAATCTCTTCTTCTATAGGGCCGGTACTTCCCCGAACGTTACTGTCCATTCGTGAAACAGAATAGACCCCTGTACTGTATAGCCCTACCGATAAAACGATTACGAACCCTATTACGAATCTTTCTTGTTTTGTCACTGTCAAGTTAAGTTTGCAACACACATCGTACGGAATACAAAAGTTAAACACTTTACTCGTCAACCGCCATGTTAGATGCATTTATTTCCATGCAACAGTAAAAGGCTTTTCTTGGCTGTACTAAAGTGAAAAGCGACTTTTGTTACGCGAGAAGGTGGCGAGTATGCTGGCGGTAGACCCGACGTTAACCACCACCCATGGACATTTAAAACACCCGTAGGGTTGTAGATACGTTGACAAATTTTAATATAGTGGGCTCTGGGTACCTCACTCACCAGACGAAACGCAGAAGTATAACATTTCCACTTCTCGCCGGGCTTCTGTAAGGTCGTGGTACTTCCCCGGAAGGTTCCGCCCATTTGTGCATCAGCGAAGACTATTACGTGGCTCTACCGCTTCCATTCACTAAATACGTGTGATGAGACAAACTGTGGTAGGGCCACGCAGCAGCCTTGACTGTTGCACGAATGGGCAGACTCGTCCGGGTAAGTACCGCTACCTCACAGAAGACCGGCGTAAAGGGAAAGTATAATAAATACTTTCGTGTTTCGGGTGGTGAGTGAGGCCGGACACCAATTTTGATGAAAAGATGTCCACGAACCTGCAACCCTCGGGTAAAGCAGATGTCCATGGGCAGCGGTATTCGCTTAACATCAGGTGAACCACCTGCTCGCTTGGCAACTTTCACATAAAAACATCCGTATAATATGTTATTGAAACCAGTACTTACACATTCTCTTAATTATAACAAACACAAAAAACATTTGACAACACGAAAAATCCCCGTTTTAATGGTAATCACAAAATAATAATCATGCTTATATCTCTTCTTATCTTTATTTCGGTGTTGTACGCGTTCCATCGGCAAAATTGTATGGGTCTGCGGTGCGGTAGGGACGTAGCCAACAAAAGACTTTTTGGTAGTATTAAATGAAACTAGTTTACGGATTTTATCGCGTTTAATTGATTTTAAAAAGTATATGATTTTTATTTCCCGACGTTTTGAACCCTTTCCAGCGTTGACAGACTGGGTTGTTACATGTCTTAATGTCAAAGTTAATTGCAATTAACGGTAGCACAGGTAAACGGGTTCGAAACGTCGGCAATTAAAAACAAAAATTAAAACGCGATAAAATCCGTAAGCTAGTTTCATTTAATATGCATAATATTCGCGTAAAATCAAGGAATCAGTTTATACCTTTCCGTTTACTCTGATAAATAAGTCCGTCATCCGTCTTTGAGATCTGCAACACATATTCACCCCACTGGTACTAAGGACGTTCATACAAGTCAAGGTTTAACTAATTATCCAAACCAAATTCTGATGATCAGACCGCTGCAAGACTTACAGCACCATCAGTTAGGCGAATCTGAAGATAGTAAGGAAATTTTATCAAAATCTGTCCAGCTACTTTGGTGTCCATGACCCTCATGGTATGTTCGACCACAAATATTAGCAATTACACCGATTCCTGTAAAGAATTAATCGCGGAGCAATTGAACTAGAAAAACGACAACATTTCAACAGAGGATGTTTTCAATATAGAAGACGATGGGGCTAACATTGATTTGAACCCCAAAGCACACGTTGTAAAAATTCATGATGTTGTGAGTGTTTTCCGCCGTCATACGCCTTAAATTAATAGTCCTTCCCGTAAGTAAAGTAAAGTAACAGCCTATACATGTCCCACTGCTGGGCAAAGGCCTCCTCTATACAGAGGGTATCAGGGCATAGTCCACCACGCGGCCCCACTGCGGATTGGCGGACTTCACATATCTTCGAAAAATATTTTTTTTTGTTATTATTTTCGAAAATATGCAGATTTCCTCACGATGTTTTCCTTCACCGCGGAGCACGTGATAAGTCAGCACTTAAACTTAATAACTTCATTGGTGCCGGCACCGGGGATCGAACTCAGGTTGCTCGAGTATATTGAATTAAAGGCGAGCGCCCGGACACTGAGCTATCACGGTTCTACTAATGAAAACTATACGAGAAATTAATACTTAAACATTACATAATATATCATTATGGCATTACTTATGTTTGTTTAACATTCCAGTTAAAGGAAGTATATAATATAATGTAATGAATTTTTTGCTTTTATCCGTTCGACACTTGTATCATTTTCCACAGGAGCGTTAACAATTGTAATCAAGTGGCTTAGAATTTCACATCAGATTACGCGAAGTAGTATTACATCGGACTGTACTAAATACTGTAACAGATAAGCTGGCGCGGAGATAACCGGCTATATTCAATTGTGTGTGTGCTTGCATGTAATATTGAATTTTAACGCTTCGGCTTAAGGCTGGTTTTGCATTAAAACGATTAATGTTTTAAGCGATCACGCGAAAGAATTTCGATTATATATTTTTTCCATAATTTAATTTATCTATGACTGAGATTTCCAATTGAATTCACTAATAGAATCAAATTTTACGCAATCATTTATTTTATTGGTAAAACCAGCTTACTGATTTAACTGTGGTTTCTGTTTTATACACGCAGCGTCAGTATTTGCTACGTGGTTAAAACTAAAATCATACATTTTCAAGGTTACGATAGCAGGTAGTGCTAAAATTGAAATCAGGATATCAAACATCTCAGTCCGTTCCCTGTTACAAATATCGGGAGTTAAAAATAAACCACGATGAAATACTTAAAGCAATATTTGTTAAACTTAACATTATTAGTAAAGGTCACTCTCAATCACTACTAAAGATTAGACAACAATGGACAGTAAGCCGTATTAGAATCCGTTAAGGTTTAATTTCATAATGCACATTCCCAACACTACACAAAGTTATTCCATTATAAGTTACAAATTTATTATTGCATTTCATTTTTATAAAACAATCAGAAGTTTATTAAAACATGTAGAAAAAGTACGAAAAGATTGTCGCCGCTGTGGGAATCGAACCCACGTCTTCGGCATTCGCGGCCTGACGCTCTTGCCACTGAGCTAAACGGCTGATAACCACAGCGACGAAAATCTTAACGCCTTCCTTCTAAATTGTTATTTAGCATTTGAAGCAATGCTTGGCGCATCTATTGTTATATCCTTTCTAGCATACAAACAATTTCGAATATCGTTTTACAACGATAATTCAAACGAGAGATGTGGCCATTGCTTTTTATAAATTTTAAAGTTTTTTATAGTGCTAATCTCTGCACTTAAGATTGAACATTACGATTGAACGAAGACGTGGGTTCGATTCCCACAGCGGCGACAATCTTTTTGTACTTTTTCTACATGTTTTAATGTTCAATCTTAAGTGCAGAGATTAGCACTATAAAAAACTTTAAAATCAGAAGTTTGTTCCAAAAACACTGGCCGTCTACCGTGTAACTTAGATAAAGTACAAAACTTAGATAAAGTTTTTTTGACAAGCTCTGATAATTCGAAAGAATCTGATCCGTTTGCGAAAGAATCTAATGCTTATTTCATAACTAACCTAAAATTCTAATGATGAAAAGTTCTAAAACATACGACGGACACATTGAATGTGCGTTCTTGCTTAAGTTTATACCTAATTTACGAAATCGTATTTGGTTAATGATAAAAAAATACCAAATAAAAATGTTAATTACGAAAATAGGTTCATGGTACCTATTTACGTAATTAAAATTTTTATTATTGAAAACGGAATTCATATTAAATTTTAACTTCGCCATTCTAAAATGTTGAAGAAGAGATAAATTTGAAAATTAAATCAGAACTAAAAGCTTTTTGCTCATTTAATTTTTCATGCTTCCCAGACGGGATAGTTGGAGAGTGCATCTTTGGGCAGTTAAATGTTATCTTACTTGGGAGATAAACTTTTAAAAATGTTCATCTTTCTCAGATCTTTGAAACTTTGCCAGTCTAAACGATTTAAATTAGTTTTCTTCTTTGATACTAATGGATGAAAATCATTTTGTGAGCCTTAAGGGATACAATCAAGAAACTTAATTGATGTTATCTAGTAAAAATTTGAATAAAAATGGACGAAGTTTTTTTGCTTCTGCGAGGATTTTATCAGATGTTATCTTTCTAATGGTTAACACACTAAGATATAGGACTAAAAATTCAAAAGACTAGATTTCTTCCTTTCTGGAAAATATTGACCGTTAATAGTATAATATTATCCTGTGTTGTAAGGACGCTTAACATACATAAATTTTACGCAGACAAACACCCGAATCCGAAACAATTATCTGTGGGTCACACAAATAGTCTTCTTGTGTGGTAATCGAACGTACGATCCTCAGCGCCGATCTTGGTAATTACGCCACGGAGTCACTGCGTAATAGCAAAATTTGTTTTGCTCAACATGCTTTGCTGTATTGTGAAATATTTAGTTAGGGAGCTAACTGTTTCACTTTGTAATGCCTTAACCTTAAGTGACGCTCACAAGGTTAGGCCAGTTTGATTGACGTAAGAATCATTAAAATCGGCCCACGCGTTTAGTCTGTTTAGCGCCACTAAAACAAACATACGTACATAGAGTGGTAAACACATCACACTCCTTCGCACCTCGGGTCAAAAGTCAATATATCTTCCGAAGCTGATGCGTGGTACTTCCGTAGTAAATGCCTAATTTAATTTTTTTTTACCCAAAAACGCTATGACGGTAAAACAGTTGAATAAATCTCATGGTATTAACTAGATTCATTCAACCAACTTTTAAGAAACAAACTTTATGGTTGCTTTTGTAAAAGTGTGTGTGTTTTGTATGCCATGGTTCGAACAATCCGAAAACTTTAACTTTGGAAGGGCTAAATCGAATAACAAGTATGAATTTGCCGTTGACCTTATTCACCCTTCTGGATTTCCAGACATTGGGGATGAACATGAATGATTATGTGAGAAGGAATGATCTAATGTAGAAAAAACCTCCAGCTTAAAGACAGTTGTGTGTTTTACTGTTTTATTTTACGAAAAGCAAAAGCAAGGAACACCGTGGGTAGATCCTTGTTGCACAACCCTATCACTGCTTACGTATAAACTAAGGAACCTACTAGTTCACATTAGAAGGAATCCATTTAGCGAAATAAAAAGCAGGGAAACGCCAAAGCATAAATACTCAGTGAGAATTCATCCCCGAGCACTCTGGACAATTAAAACGCTGAAAGGACTTATCGCTAAGCCGGGGGTGGGTTAAGGGTTGAACGGCGCTGCACTGTATCCCCTAATCTTGGGGATATTGGATGATTTATACGAGAGTTTTGCGAACTGCTAAGTAAGGAACTGGCCAGGGTTGGCAACATTTTACAATTTTTTTTTCTGTTCTATTGATGTAAATAAAAATATAAGAGCGGAGTTTGCATGTAAGAAAATCGAAGAACCATTTATTTGTTATAAATCCATAAAATCACACGTTATGTGTGTAATGTCCTTCACTATTTGAGGTATTCGGGAGCAGACATTAAAACGCGTTGAATAGTACAACCGCCATTTAATGACTGACCCATTAGACGAGGTTACATGCCGAAAACGTTATAATCTTCTACCGACAAGAACAATACATATATTACAATATGTTTATCAAACAGCTTGTTCACCAATTCTAGTTCAACCGGAAGTACCCTATAGGTTTTGGCTCGAAAACCTATATGGTAGTTCTCGTTGACCTAGAATCACCAAATTATGAAAAAAAAAAAAAGCAAATCAAGGTAAATTTAGGTAGGTACTTATAAGTTTACTCGAAAATCTAAACTTGCCCAAATCTTTTTATCGTGTTGACTTAG